ACATTCCAATGCCAAAGTTCGTCCTTTTATCATTTAACAATATGGTATTTATAGGAGAAAAGAGTACCGTTCAAAGATGAATCTCGAGCTGTCAAGACTGAATCATGGAGTATCAGATCTTCCAAGAGTGAATCGTGGAATATAGTTGATAAAGATTGTGATAACATCAATTCAGTATCGTTAATTGACTTAGCCAAACCGCGTATTCACTAAGATGTGAATAGTAACTATAAATTCGCCTCGACAACAAACGTATTTCATCTTTGTACTGAACCTATCTCCATTCACCTCTGTACCGAACCCAAATAAGTGCTCTTTTGCAATGGACTTATTTTAATATTTAGAGTGGGCTAAATTACCAAAAGCCCACTTAAATGAATTTAATCCAACCTCATCATTAACCCCCGAAGCCCTAGTTAGTTTTTTATAACTTGGGCTTTTTCTGGCACAGTGGGATGTTAACTCTCTTTTGAGTATCGCGTGCAAAGATCATGCATTGATATTTAGGTGTAAAACCTATACTTTGTAAATGATAATGTAAGGAGACAAGTTTTAATCTCACGAATTTCGAAACTTGTGTCCTAAACTCGAAAAGAAAAAGTATTACACAAACTCCCATGCAAATTTGTTTTGGCTAAAAGCCATTTCTTGACATTTGTGTGGTCAAATATTTAGAAATTTATCATATCAAAGTTTTTAGTAGCACATGACGTGATATAACTTTGATTTATGATTTAGCCGCCCAAAGAATAGTCTTTAGCCTAATCAAAAGACTTGGTATATCTTTGAGTTATGATTTATGAGGCTAAAGCCAAATAAAAAGACTTGGTATGTCTTTGATTTATGATATATGCGACTAAAAGCCGAATGAAAAGACTTATTATGTCTTTGAATTATGATTTATGTGGCTAAAAGTAGAATTTTTTGCCGAATCAAAATACTTCATATATCTTTGATTTATGACTTATGCGGCTAAAAGTAGAATCTTTTGCCGAATCGAATGACTTGTATGTCTTTGATTTATGATTTATTGGGATAAAAGTAGTCACTTTTACCGAATCAAAAGACTTGTATCCCTTTGATTTATGACTTATGCGGCTAAAAGTAGAATCTTCTGTCAAATTAAAAGACTTGTATGTCTTTGATTTATGATTTATGCGGCTAAAAATAGTTGCTTTTGCCGAATCAAAAGACTTGTACGTCTTTGATTTATGACTTATGCGGCTAAAAGTAGAATCTTTTGTCAAATTGAAAGACTTGTATATCTTTGATTTATGATTTATGCGGCTAAAAGTAGTTACTTTTGCCGAATCGAAAGACTTGTATGTCTTTGATTTATGATTTATGTAGCTAAAAGTAGAATCTTTTTCCGAATCAAAAGACTTCATATGTCTTTAATTTATGATTTATGCTGCTAAAAGTGGAAGTTTTTGCCGAATCAAAAGATTTGTTCTGTCTTTGATTTATGATTTATGAGATGTACAAGGGAACTGTGTTCATGTCGTGTCTTTGGGATGGTAAATGAGTAATATACTCTTTCTCCCTCTTTCCCCCTTCTTAATTTAAGCATATAGCTTGGTAGTATTAATATATGCGAAAGAATTATTGCCTCATAAGCATACTTAAATGAATTAAAGCACAATACAATCATAAATGTAAAAATTTTATGAATATATGAAAAAACCTTGGTCCGTAAAGCTATAAACCATAGCCTTTGTCTCCAAAGATGAAGCTTTGAAGCATAACATTTTTTTCTTCTTTTTTTTCTTATTTTTTTTCTTTTTGGCAAAGCTTTATTGTTGAAACTGATATGGTGTAAGCCTTTGGCTCTGCTAACGAAGGATGTTCCCTGTCAAAACTTACTATAGGTCTTGATTAGGAATAAATATTTTGCTTCCCAAGATTTGCACACGGCTGATAACGTCTAAAACTTTAGTCGTCCAAGCTTTGGGGAAGTGGTTCATGAAGAAAATCTTTACTGCACAAACTTCACTGGCAGAAGTGATGAACCATAATCTTTGGCGTAACCGATTACAAGTAAAGATCCTTTTGCTACCATAATTTTATTGGTAAAACTGATCGAGTACACGCCTCTGACTAAAACAATAATGACCTTTAGTGACAAACCCAATGAGGCAATAGCCTTCGACAAAGTTGAATAGGCATAAGCCTTTAACAACAAGGCTTTGCCAGTAAAAATGACAAGTCATAAGCCTTTGTTACTAAAACTTCGTGCTCTACTAATAAACTGTAAACTCAAAATTTAATTACTTAAGGAAAAAATTATTATTTTTCTTGCTCGTCAGGTCTCATGCGAGGCCACATTTGTTGTTGGTGGAGCCTTGTACCAAGGTGAAATTTATTGTTTTGACATAACTTTGTTAGTGAACATTTTTCTTGGTGAAGCCCTAAACCTAGGTGAAATTTAATGTTGTGCCATAGCTCTGTTAGTGAAAAGTTTTGTTGGTAAAGCCCCGTACCTAGGTGAAATTTAATGTTGGTCCATAGCTTTGTTAGTGAAAAGTTTTGTTGGTGAAGCCCTAGGTGAAATTCGATGTTGTGCCATAGCTTTGTAAGTCAAAAGTTTGTTGGAAGCCCCGTACCACGATGAAATTTAGTATTGTGCCATAGCTTTTAAGTGAATTTGACAAAGCACATGCCGCTGCTACTGCACCTTTTTACGAAGCTGATGAGCCTATGGCGAGACTAATAAAGTATAAGTATTTGGGATCAAAGTTTTGTTATCAAAGTTAAGAAGGGATAAGCATAGAAATTACTCCCCTTTCTTTGTCTTCACTCGACATTATCACCCTTGTACGAAGATGAAAAACTTGTGTTGTATCATGGCTTTTTAGAGAGATTGATAAGGCATGAACCTTTGCTATTGAAGCCACGAGTACATCTTATAAGGCATAAGCCTCGTTTAAGTCTTGATGTGTCATTATTCAATTTCTTATGAGGGACATTGATGTGTATTCTTTGAGCTTTCTTTTTATCTTCTGGAAGACTTCTTTGACTTCTTATAAGTACTAGACTAGCTAATGATCCCAAACTTCATAATTTCCCTTTACTTACTTTCGAATGACTTGAGAATTGTTATAAACCCCCGACCTCTTAACTTTTAGCTCTATGATTATCGCCTCTATGGTTATCACCAAGTTTGCCATTAGTTCTTGGTACTCGGCTTCCTTGCTTGTAGATAGAAAAAATAAATGAACAGTATATGTTCACTAAGTACTTGGATCATTGGGAGTTTTCAATAGTAGACCCACTCCAGACATTCTTCATTTGCGACTCTGGACTGCATAAGCTTTAGAAAAATGGTGGGAGCTTTCGTGCATTTTATTGAGAAAGTAACGCTACTCATCCCCTTGTAATGCGTTATGAAATATGAGCGATATTGCATCCTTTCTCTTTCTCGCAATAGTACCACACTTGTAGCTTTTTTTTGTCGCTAAGTAGAGATATAAGGTTTGCTCAAAATAGATTTGGTCAAGTCTGGTCGTTGCCCCAGATAAGCTTTTCAAAAACTTATTGACATGCTTCAGTCCATTGGGAGTTCCTGCACCTTTAAGGCTTCAAAGAAATTAAGGTAGCTTTCTCCCCGCAACTTTTGCTAAGACGGCTTAACGTCCTCAATGAGCTAACCAAATTTTGCACCTCCTTTATGCTTTTAGGTGGAGCAATATTAGTGATAATTTAGAATTTTTCCGAACTAGATTTCATTTTTCCTTTTCAAATTAGATATCCCACAAGCTTTCTTGATCCGACCACTTAGGATCAATACTGATCTATACCTTGACCTCAAAATATTAAGTAATCTACAGTATGACTATGAGCTCATTTTTTCTAGAATTATAAACATTAATTTAGCTTTGTTGATGATTATGATATAGCCTTCGAAAGTGTTAAAACATCAATGTAAAATATGCGTTGATGATATAGTTTTGTGTTGTAAGAACTCTTGCTTTGTGAGCTTTCTCCAGATCTTCTAATAGGCACTTCAAATCTGCATGCAATTGCTTTTGATTCAAACAGTTCAGTTTTACTAGAGGAAGCACATCTTTTATATGTTCCAATACATGTGATGAAACAATTGATACAATTGTTTCAGGAAAATTTTGATTTGTAGTCCGGAGATTTTGGATTTCTCGTCAAAAAATATTTTTATTTCACCTCAACACTCATTTCAGCTTTATCTCATAGCCTTGGTTTGGTTTTGCTTCAGTCAAATTTCATCTTGGACTCTTTTTTTTGAGGTTTTTTCACCTCAAAAATATATTTGTTTTGATTCAGACTTTGGGTTTGTCTCAAAGCTCCATTACGGGTTCACCTATGCTTTCACCGTAGATTGTTTTTTTAAAGTTTAAACTTCTCCTCAGGTGTTTGATGTTAAAGGAAAATTTCACTTTTGATTCTCGACTTTGATATCACCTCTAACTGTTGCTTTACTTTCACCTTTGACACTTCATTTTGGTGCACCTCCATCTCTTAACTTTTGTTTCACCTTTGACACCTCATTTTGGCACCTCTGTCTCAAAGTTTTGGTTTCACCTTTGACATTTCATTTTGGCACCTATGTCTCCTGGTCTTGGTTTCACCTTTGACACCTCATTTTGGCACCTTTGTCTCTAGGTTTTGATTTCATCTTTGACACTTCATTTTGGCACCTGTGTCTCTAGGTTTTGGTTTCACCTCTGACACTTTATTTTGGCACCTCTGTCTCGTGGTCTAGTTTTACCTTTGACACCTCATTTTAGCACCTTTGTCTCTTCGGTTTTGGTTTCACCTTAGACACTTTATTTTGGCGTCTCTACTTTTTGATTTCATCTTTGACACTTCATTTTGATATCTATGATAGTGTACCTCGAGCTTTAACTTTCATAGCTACCTTTGATCGAGGTTCTGAAACTCAATTAGATAACGGATAAATGACCCTTGCCACTACTCGATTTTCTTGTTGTATAATTCTAATATTTTGAGACTTGTTATCAAAAAACTTCTGGTAGCTCCAATTTGGTGAAATTTGTCAATTAGAGGACCTAGTCCCGTTATAAAAGCCTCGGTCATTTATAGGTCCACCAATTTGTTCTTGATTGTCGTCCTATATCATGCCACCAAATAGGCATAGGAGACCTTGTGTTTTTGCCTTTTGCCCATTGTTGTAGGGTGATATTGAGTATGCACATTATTAGATAATTATAACAAATGTAACATTATTACAAATAAGATCTAAAAATTAGTGATTGAAATAAGGGTCTTTAGTCTCTGTTCTAAAGAGGTGTGTTTTAAGCCATGATTTTAATGCAGATTTCTGTCATGTTCTAGGAATTCAATAATTTTACCGGCATTGATAAAGAGATGATCGTGAAATCTAAATAAATAACTGGGTGACAACCTATGATGGATTTGAGAGTTTCATGATCCACTTCAATTCCAACAATGTCACCAGGAAAGGCAACATACTCAATATCACCCGGCAACAATGGGCAAAAGGCAAAAACACAAGGTCTCCTATGCCTATTTGGTGGCATGATATAGGACGACAATCAAGAACATGAGCCAATAGAAAAGGCGGAAGATTGATTTACTAATATTGGAAACTCGTCACTAAACACAAGCAAAGATGCTGCATGGTTTCGCAGAAAACCCGGATTCTAAGCCCTAAGCCTAACACCTAATCAAAATTAACCATCCGAGTTATCCTATGCCTATCAGCCTCAGCATAATATATACACAATCTGCTGCTTCCACAGACATTGAGTTCTAAACTTCTAATCCCACCTACTCTGATATCAAAAGAAAAAGAACCCCCTATAGCATCCTCAGGAGTAGATACTTGCAGAATTTGTGAGAACCGCACACATTTCCCATTTGCAAATAAAAAAGACTGCACATCAAGCACCAACATCTCTACTTTCAACGAAAAGTTCTTGTTTTCTAGAACATATATACACAGCATAAACTTCACTATGACGTACCATTTGGGCCTACAAGGAACAAAAGAAAAAAGAACAGCGGATATTAGACAAGGTCTGAAAATAAAAAGGAAGATACATACGTTTGGAGAAAAAAAAAGAAAAAACAAATAAGCACCGGTGAAGGTATAAGAGCTGTATGGTTGAAATGTAAAAGGATTGCTGGAAATTCCTTGTCATGCAAGTTAACCAGTAAATGAAAGACTAACAATCGAGTAAAACATACAAACAGAGAAAAGAAGGTTCAAATGAAGTACAAGAAGGGTCAGCAAAGACAGCATTAAAAGAATAGAGTGGTAGCAAAAGACTTCTAGAAATTCACTTTTTCCCAAGTCGAATAGATCTAGGTGTACCCTACAAGTGAGGAACCGTGCACTTTACTAAGTCGAAAATAGACATCTGCTTGTTCCTAAACTTTCTTAAACTTCTGACATATTCTAAAAGAAGTAAACTAGTTATCACACCTTAGCACCTCAAATACCAACATTACGAACCACTGGCTAGATAACTCACCTCAATGCTCTCTTCCCTGGGGATCCAAGAAGCTTTCATGATCTGATCCGGCATAGATTGACCTGGAATACCTCTCTAATTCCTCTGAAATGGGTAAATCATAAAGTTGATCAGACTACAACATAAGTAGATGTGACAACATTTCATATGGAAGAATGTTTATTTGCGGGGAAAAAATAATCAACATGATAAAGGGTCAAACAACCAGTACCATTAGAGTAGCCAGATGTCAGGTCCGATAAACTAAAATTCCTAGGAATTTGGCTCAATGATCCAAATGCAGGAGTTTCCGTGTCTGCATAACTCCGATTCAAGGGTTGAGAATGGTGTCCAACACCATTGTAAGGTGAAACAGGAACATCTCCAATTGTACGGCGAGCATCAAATGCATTGACATTGGCATTATATGCGACAGCATTATTGCCCGTGTAAACAGCTTCTTGCTTAAGCATCTGACCATTCATTCCTTGAATAATTCTAATATTTGAGTTTTGACAGAAGGGAATGTTTGATGAGGCTTCAATCCTTCCAGTATGAGTGGTCAAATCCATGGCAGGTGTATACTGCTGTAATGAATATCCATCGTGCAAATTTGAGTTCAAATCTGGATCCACCGTTTCCCTCTTGAGAGGGGAATCTATATGTTCCAGAGAATGAGCCACTGTACTCTGTTCTATTGCCAGAGTGTGGTCCAGGGAATGAGGCACTGTAAGCTGTCGCACTGGCACAGTATGGAATGAATTATTTTCGTTTTGCAATAATTATTTGTCGGGCTACCCAAATAGAACATTAAAGGAAAAACATGAAGATTAAGAAACAAGAGGATTCATACATAAAAACATATAAACGGAAAAAAATGCCATCACCCAAGGAAACACTAGCACAAAACCAAAAGACAGATGTTGCTCACTTATTGTAGAATCTTAGAGTAATCACATTACCCTAGAAAACAATTAAAAAATTGAAATGCAACAGATTCCCAATTGACATAACGATGCTCTAAAGGCTAATATCAAGTAATCAAAGAAAATCTGCTTACTTGGAATCTGAGATCCGTTAGAAAATTCTGAAGAACATATATGATGCATTAGTTGGTTCTGTCTTTCCAGCAACTCATTGAATCTCACTATTTGATCCTTTACTATCAACCGCAAATGATAGGCTCTAAAAAATTCCTGATTTTCCTCTTCAAGCTTTTGCCAAACTGGAAAATAGAAATAGCAGTTAAACCCTTTCTTTGAACCCATACAAAACAGAACAAAAACAGATGTGAAAGCTTGCATCCATCATGAAAACATTTATGAACAGACAAGTTGTGGCATCTCACTGTAGTTCTTTTGACAAAGGAATGGAAATTAGTTCTAGCAAGTCTAGTGCTAACTTTGAGGAGAGAACCCATATTAACATATTAACTTTTTCTAATCTTGCCATCTAACACAAAGAATGGTTGCATGTATCTGCAACAATTACTACCATCTTAAGGTTGTCAAAGATTCAAAAGACGAGGTTTTCAGTTCCGTGATTTCTTTTCACCCCAATATTCAAATGTTTGGAAGGCAATCATCAACAAAGAACACTATCAAAAAGGACATGATTTATCTAACATAGAACAAGGTGGTAAAACTATCAACATAATGTTGTCAGACGCTTGTACAGTATTCTAATGTGTCCTCTGTAAGGAGAGAATGAAATGCAACAAGAGGTGCAAGTTCAACTCCTTAATGAACAACTACCGAACATTTATAGCAATTCTGCTAGACAATTGTCTGCTGTGGATTTAATTTGTGTATAATGTTTCTTTATACATCCAACACATACATCACGGAGTGGACGGTAGACAATGTAGAGTGCATCAAAGTACAATACCAAAATCAAATATCTAATTAGAATCTTAGAAAATGCAAAATATTGCATAGAAATCTTTTTGTAAGATGAGAAAAAGGTGGTTTGGTTTCCACCTCCCTACAGAACACCATTGCACTTACTAAAAGCTTTGTAATAGAGGAATCATGAGGACAAATGCAAGCATACCCAGTTCAGTGAAACCAGGCTCAATTTTAGCCTGCTGTAGAAGGACATTCACAACTTCCTTCTGATTCATGTATAGTTGAAGACATCTTTCAATAAGATTCTGTACCTGACATCGGTGATATAAATCTCAAATGTCATCTCTAGATAGAAAAACAGAATTAAAAGGAGAATAAAAAGGAGGATACAAAACTTTTGGATATATATATATATATAAATATATATATATATATATATTCACTCACAAATTTTGACTTCATGTATAAACACGAGACAACAACATATTCTCCATAATGGTTTATTTTGAAATTTAAACTGAGATGATAAGATTGCAAATGGAAACAGAAAATGTTTTCTGCAAAGTCCACCGATGAATCTAAATTAGAGTGACCTCAACCCATGTTTCAACAGTCAAAATCACTCGCAGTCAAACAGAAATATATGATGTTTACTAAACCTTTTCACCATGTTACGTAAACAATGTCAATGCGATCTCAATAAGGATACCAAAAAAGTAACAGATAAGGCAGAACAAACTGGCCTTTCAAAGCTTGAAAACTTACCAACTGAATATCTTCACGTGAAACCCTTCTAACCTCAACACTAGCCATTGATCAGCACCACAATAAATTTACAACTATTGCACCTTGCTTAGTAAAACCAAAACATCTCACCAGCTGCAGTTCATATAGATTTCAAATTTAGTAGCATGAAATAAAACCCTTGTGGCAGATGCTTAGCATATAAAGAAAACATTTTCTCCTAGTCCTACTATATCTGTTAGAAAACGAAGCACAGAAGGAAACGCAGGAAAGAGTACACTAACAGAATTGTCCCTTACAAGCCAAACATCAAATACCCATCCATATACTTTTCAAACACCCTTCAGTCTATCATTGAAACTAACAAATCAAACATCATTTGAAGTCCAGGACCATAAATCAAACTCGAAACACCAGACGCCCTTCACCTTCATTATTAAAAGTTATGTATCAAAATCATTAAGATCCATTGGCATCAAGTCTTGCAGAATGATAATTCAACCATCCAAATATAGGACAGGGATGCAAAAAAGACGCCAATTTATTGGCTAACCACAACTCTTGCAAAAGACTAGTTTTACCCAACCAGGAAGTCAAAGAAGCCAGCCATTTGACAAGCAAAATTACAGGTATTCTCCATGACCAACTTTTTTGTTAACTCGACTATAACAACACTTACAATTTAAAAAAAAAAAAAAAAATACTGCAATCTAAACCATATCCATATAATTGCCCCACCTGTACACTGCACGCTACCATATTAGGAATAAACGGAACATATCTCTTGTTCAGTCAGAGAACACAATTAGGAACAAGTATCAATCTTAACCAACTCCATTCATGCCACAAATTGGGAAGGATAAAAAAAGCGCATAGCACCTTCTCCCAACCAAAACAGGCCCAACAAATTGAATAATACTACACAAAACAACTTCACATGCACAAATTTGAAACGGAGTACACAGAAGGCAAATTCCATCATGGAAGAAAACCAAAAATAATAATAATAATAATAATAATAAAGAACAGGTCTTTAAGTCAAAAGTCAAGAATTGCAAGTGAAAAAAAAAAATCACCAAATAAAGTTCCAGCAAACAACCAAAACCAATCACACTTAACAACACAGTTTTAGCAACAAAATTTCGCCTGAAGTAAATAAGGAAACCATTCCAACAAGAACCCACAAGGCGAATCACAATTAGGAACCCATCAAACCAAAAAAACGGCTAGAAATTCATACCTAAACCTTCACATGCAAATATGCATATGGGAGTATAAACGTCTGTGAATAGGGAACAAAAAGGACAATAAAATTGAGAAGGTCAAAAAAAAAAAAAAGGAGAAAAATTATGATAATCACAACGAACAAGGAGGAGGAGAAAGAAGAAGAGGAAGAGTTGATTAAGGAAGTTTGGAGAGATCACCTGAAAGGAACGGAGGAGTTGTAATACAAGTCGTCTACTACAGTTTTCGGATGGGTTCGGACTTCTGAGAACGATTTTGATCCTTTTCTTCCGAAAATATTTTAAAAAAATTTAATGAGTTTTATCGGGACAGGAGAGAGAGAGAGAGAGAAAGATATAAAAGAGCACTTTTTCTATCTGAGTTTTATCGTTATGACACTTTTTATAGTATTGCCTCCATCTCATAATTATTGTCCAGTTTTAATTTTCATTTTTAGTTCAAATTGTACGAAAAGTAAAATTCTAAACTGAATAATAATTTTGGGACAGATGGAGTATTTTTTTTCGTCCAATTGTAACAACTAAAAGTAGCGAAATTTTTTTAAATATGACAATAATATTTGCAACTTTGATTTTTTTGGATCAGAGGATTAACGATCTATTAGTAATGGAACCACCGTTTTTTTAAGAAAAAAAAAATTATGAAAGGACAATAACCGTAAAATTAAAAAATGTATTGCATTAATCGACAAAAAAGAAAAAGAAAAAAATTGTCAACAAACTGTTAGAATGGAGATTTTGCAACAAGGTTTTATTTTGTGTCTCTCCTCTTTTTTTCCTAATTCTAGTAGTGGTCAAGAACCCGTTTAGGATATGTTTGTTTCGTTTTTTAATGTATTTTAGGTATTTTTTGTATTAAAAATGTAAAAAAGTTTATTAAAAATATAAAAAAATATGTTGGGATGGACAGTTATTATTTTATTAATCTAAAAAAACCATAAAAAAAAAAACTAAACAAACAAAGCCTTAGCTGTCCGATTCTAGTTATACTAGTGATGTCTGGTCCCGCGACCTTGGCCCAATATATCTGTAGATTTTAGAAATGTTTGTATCTGGAAAAAAAATTATTTTGTATTTGGGCCGATATATTTTAGAAATGTTTGAAGAATTTAGAAATGTTTTATAAGTGTGATCATAGAAATGTTTGTATTTTACATAAAAAGAAATTGTATTTGGCCCGATACGTTTTAGAAATATTTGAAGATTTTTAAAATGTTTTATAAGTGTTACTTCTTAAATATAAATAAATTTGATCAAATATATGTCTTGAAGTAAATGCAAGACAAAATATAAAAGCATCCTCATAAGTTTAAATATTAGTAAGATAATTTATTGATGTTCTCCATTGGTTGTGCCAAATCAATACTTAGTTTCTGAGATTTATACTAGCTTTGTAGTAAGCTTCCTCCAAAAAGTATACGCTTAATTGTTGAAACTATTTCTTCCAAAAGTATACCGGTAGTAAAATATCAAAAATATGATTTTGAAACTGGTTAATTGTTGAAACTGGTTGATCACAAATATGAGAATGAAAATAATGTAAATTTACATAGGTTTCAAGTTATAGTAAAAAAGAACTCACTTCACCATGGCAAATTAAAAAAAAAAAAAGAAAGTAAAAGATAGCACATTAAAAATTAGAAGTTTATTTTTTTCTGTAGGTAAAAATGATGTATAAAAACACAAATAAACGTAGAAAAATCATTCCTTCCCTCTCCATCTCAAAAAGCTTCCCCATAAATTAGTTAGAAGAAGCGACTTGAACTATTTATATGATGAGGAACTAAAAAAAGTCCAAGAACCAAATTCAAAAAAGTATATTCTTGAAAGACCGAACACCAAAAAAAAAGCGCTTCATTTGTAAATAAAATAATAATAATAATAATAATTGGTCAATTGGGAGTATGAAACAAAATCAAAACCAATTAAACAAAGAAAAAAACACACTTCATAACTGACTATATACGAAAAAAACCCTGAGACTCCATAATTAAAAAAAATCAGTCTAATTGAATGAAACATAAAAAAGAAATTTAAAAATCACACTTTGTAACTAAAATCATACAAAAATTCTAGGCTAACTAACCATATAGGAATCACATCATATTACCTGACAACGGCTACGGTAGCTGTAACGGATGGACGCATAAAAATAATAGTAATAACACTATTATTGAACGGGAAAAACAAAAAATAATAAAAGCCAAACAAATGATCTGTGGAAATAAAATCATTTAAATATTAATACCTGTAATGGCACCACCATAATGGCCGAAGCAAGATCAATGAGAATTTTTTTTTTTCCTTTGTTTTACATAGTGACGTAAAGAGAATATTTTTTGAACTCGAAATCTTATCAGATTAGGATGTAGTTGATCATCACTAATGAAAAAATTTAACATGCTAATAGGAAAGGAGTATATTTCACCACATATTCTCAATTGATGATTGATGAGAAATTTTATTTTTTTTTTAATTGTGGAGAAGGGATTGATTAGGGAGTCGATTGTCGTGGAGATGGGGATGAGGATTTGGGTTTTTTATGAACACGTGGTTTTTTTTTACGAAAATAGGAGGTGAAAGTGGATTTGGACTGCATTTGCCTTTTAAGTCTAGGAGATGTGTAAATAAAAATTTATTTTAAAAATATGATGTGGAAATACCACATGGCAAATGGTGGTACTTTCTCTAAAATGTGGTTTTTGTTTCTAATATAGTAAGATTTTTAAACATATTTTTGGAGAATAGAACCACCAAATTTAATAATTAGCAAAGTTGCCATTTGTATCACTGATTAACTTTCTCCAAGTCAAAGTGATTCTTTTTTTATATCGTTAACGATTTTTAACACTTTCACTGATTTACTATCATTGAAATAATTTTGTCAACATGTACTCCTGTTTTTTTTTTTTACCACCAAAAAAAGTCAACCCATTCCAGGAACGTGCAATTTCATGGTCGGTGGACGCCGGACGGGAAGACGCGTTGACAACCTTATTACCCTATACAGCTTGGTAGAAAAATAAAGTTGTGATCAAAGTGCGGCTAATGAGTACAGTTAAAAAGGTCACGTTTTCGAGTCACGTCACTGGGTGAAAAATGAACGATTGGCTTGAAAGAATGTTGAAGGTATCAAACTGCAAATTTTTTGTTTGTATATGAATATTGATCGAAACAAAGTGCCTATTTAATCAGATACTACTTCTGAAAAATGAAAATGACATTTGATGCAGAGTTCATACGATAGAAAGAAAAACTCCGGCTCACACACCGTATTGAAATGGAATTCGGTGTAAACATGAATGCAAAGGACAAAATCCCAGCTGGAATTGAGAGAATCATATATCTAAACTAAATCAGTCAAATGCTTTACATCAATACACGACTAATTAAAAATCTGCTCTGATTACAAAGACAACTAATTCCTAAGCAAAATCGGATGTTGGTTTTCTTTTCTTTTCTGTTTTTTTTTCTTTTTTCCTTTGATCAAAATAAGGTGTGTACAACTCTCCCATCATTAGTGATATCTTCTCTGTCAATTCTACATTCCTATAGATGATTATGTATAAACCAAAGTCTGTGATTAAAGTAGGATTCAAAACGAAAAGGCGACAAAAAAGGGTCAAAATACTTTGCATCAATTAGAGACCACAGTTAGGCCATTGTTGTTGTATCTGGACCTTGTTCTATCTGGAGAAAGGCCTTCTTCCACACCCTTCCTCTTATTCTTGTTATTTGGTGACTGCGATTGCTGTGGCTGTGATTGACATTCTTTCGTATCTTCTGTTACTGGTGATGGTGTTTCCGGCGATGAAGTTGCGCTGGCAGATGATGCCTCAGTCGATCCTTGATCGTCTTGTTCATTTGGCTTTTGAGGGCTATTTTTACTTTTAGTTTTCAACATGTGTGGTTTCAGCTTATTCACATCTGATAATCTCACTGGCTTAAGGAAGAACTCCTCTGCCCCTTCTTCTAAACATCTGAAAATGATGAGAATCAAGCAAAAGCCCAAATGGTCAATCTCAGCTCAGAAGACTATAACCTAAATCATCATCAAAAGTACACATCCATTCATTCACTAACAGAATTACAGAATTACTTTGGGATTTGAAGTTTTACCTGCTGATTCTTGAAGGGACGTTCTCAGATGACATTATCACAACCGGTATGTCCCTCAGAGATGAAGATTCCTGTAATGAGAAGCCAATAAAATTGATTCAGCAAAGTTATCTTCACAAGTGTAATTGTTAAGTACAGAGAAGATCAAACAAATCAAAGGGCTCATCTAAAACTGATAGAATTACTAATAATGTTCCTATGAACGGATACCTAATATTGCAGAGTAGGTGGGAAAGATTTCCTCTTTATTTTCAAAGATTCCCTATTGATCAGAAATGAATGGCATGAAAATGACAGATGTAGGCAGACAACTTCCACATCAAATTTAACTCATCAGGGGTACAGTTAGTTAGCCAAATTTTGAACAAAGCCATAGTTTTTCCAGGAAAAGAAAATGATGTCAAACTTGGAAATAATCTGATAGAAAACAGAGCAGAAACCAGAAAAGAAAGAGCACCCTAAGTTAGGGGAGAAGACAAAAGGCTTGGAATGCAGTAACCATACCTTGATTTTCTTGAGCAAATCATAGCCTGTCATCCCAGGCATACAATAATCTGTGATAACAAGATTTACTTCAACTTCCTGAAAGAGGAAACACAGGTGCCAGAAGAATTAGAATTTAGACTACCAAGAAAAGAAAGTTTCACCACTAATTATTTCCTCTAAAATAGTTCCAAAATCCAATCAAAAAGGAGAAAGCTGACAATCCCAGATTCCTAAACAGTAAAAAGAAAAACAACAAACCAATTTACCTGATTGTTGTGATTAGGAGATATAGAAGGTTGATTAGGATTGCTTCTGTCATCATCTTCGTGTAATCCCAGAAATTCTAAAGCTTTACTGCCGGAATCCACTGTGGTAACTGCTAAGAGAACAAACAATGCAGACAGAATTTCAGACCAAAGGTCACTCAAAATCCCTTCCTCCAAAATTACCAGAAATTAAAGAACTTAAGAAAAAGAACACCCTTTTGTTTCCTGTCCTCTCAAACTGAAAAAATAAAAGTACCTTGATACGAAGAGGTCTTGAGCAATCTCTCAATGAGTTTTCTGTCTATAAGACTGTCATCAACAGCCAAAACATGGAACTGGGATTCACTTGCTGCCATAACCATTTTGATTTCAGACCACCAATCTCAATATCCCAATAAGTAAAAATCCCAACACCAAGATGATGAATGTGGTTGACAGAAAGGGGAGAAAAAAAGAAAAGGAAAAAAGCTTGTGCCTTTTTTTCCGGGGGGTGCTTGTAAGAAGAAGAAGAAGAAGAGGTGCTCAAATGAGGAAAGAAGAGTAGGGAAGAAGAAGAAGAGGGAAAAGAAGAGGGAAGAGGGGGTTATGTATTGAAGACAAGACCCACCAAAATCCACAACCCACAAAGCAAGATCTGACCAGATTTCATCCAAAAGATACTCTTTCCAAGTTTTTATCTCCCCCAACCCAACTTGGGTTTTTGAATTTACAAGGCAAGCAACCAAGCAAAATGGCAAAGCTACAAAACCCAATAAAAATACAGAGCCCCCAAACTAGAGCCAATATCACTACTATTACTAGTACTAATGAATAAAGAACCAATTTTTAGAACATGGTAGTTGATTTTTAGAGGGGGTTGATTGAGTATAAAATATATTGGGCTAAGACAGAAATCATTTATATGATGAGTCGGAGAAAGTTTTGGGGATTGAAAAAGGAAAGTTGGGGAAGGGGAAGGAAGGAAAGAGAGAGAGGGGGTCGGTGGGCCCCAACAAAATCCTCTCAAGAGATACAGGTGATGTCAGCAATGGTGCTTTTTTTTTTTTTTTTTTTTGCTGGGTGTGAAATCATGTGCGCTTACCATATCTTGAGCAGGTGGGGGAGTGGTGGTGGCAAAGAGAGGGCAATTTCATCTTGATTCCCTTTTAAGATTTGCTTCCCATGGCCATTAGATGTGTACCCCATCCCCCTCCATGTTGGTTTTGCCTTTATGGATGTCTTCTTCATTCATTCATTCATTCATTCATTCATTTTTCTAACAATATTCATTCAAAATCTCACCATAATAACCATTTCATAATGTTTTAGGTTAATTGGAATTGGGGCTCTATGGTTTTGGTAATTGGTATTCAAGGTAGATCTTAGGAAGTTAGGATCCAACTTAAAAAAACAACTTCAATTTAGTTGTCAATTTTTTGAGGTTAATGTTATGAAAAATACTCTTCATGTCTCAAAATTATTGTCCAGTATGAATTTTTACTTTTAGTATATGAAAATTCATACGGGACAATAATTTTAAGACAAATGGAATACAACATTAGAGATGCGAAAAGATGGCAAGTGCGAGATGATTTTTTAAAAGAGTAACTAAAGTAGTTTTTTTTTTATAAAAAAAAAAAAGTAAGATAAAAATCAATCACTTTAAGAAAATGAATTTTAACCCAGTAATCAAGACTTTGTGAATCTCTGTAAGGATAAAGAGTTTGGGGATTAGTTTATAGTAATATGTTCAGATAGCAGAATGTAAATTTGGAAATTACATATGAAAATATGTAAAATGAGAGAAATATATAAGCTAGTACTTCCTCCAGTTCTTATAATAAAACATTTTGATTTTGTCCTAATTTTAACTTAGAATGTCTTTTTAATTGGAAAAAAAATTTTAAAAATATATTTTCACATTCGTTGTGTTCTCCTAATTATTATGAAATATTTTTAAGGTTTTTAGGACGAAATTAAAATGACCTATAGTAATAAGGACAGGAGGGAGTATCTTTTAGTTTAGGGTTTAGAATTCTGTATTTAGAATTAAATGAGATTTAACCAGTGAAGCACATTACATTTTTATCATCAAAAGCGGTTATACTCGCGGTCGAAAATTGTGAATGGGAGAATTAAGTGATGGGAAATAACCTCACTTTAAGCATTTACAATTCTTTAATGGAATTCAATTTGGTTTTAACAAAAAAAAAAAAACAATTTTTTATTCAATTAAGCGCGTTACATTTTCTCTATCATTAAAGACGTTACATATACATGCCCTCACATTATTACATAAGAAATTGATGGACTAAACTTTCTGTAAACTATTTGACTACTCTCTTGTCTCAAATAAATAAATAAAAATACTGATTTGGGTGTTACAAAATACAGCATCACTTCTAGTCCGAACTAACAATCTACTTGTTTTAAATCAACGAAACTTCTGACCTCTAAATTAAGTAAATTAGGTTTTGCTTTCTAGTTTGCAGAGTGTATTTTGCTTAATCACTTCTCCTCTTGGTCCTGTTATGGAGGATCCCATGTGGTTTGGCTTCGGATTTCTTCTATTTTAGGTATAACCTTTCATTTAGTTTTTTCTTTCATTTGGTGAGAAATTAAGACAACTTATTAACTCTCTAACGAGTCAGGAACATATAATTCTCCTTATTCTATTCAAAATAGACTAGACATATACCCTCAGAGAAAACATAAGTTCCTTTTGTTCACAATGCTTATATTTGGATTCTTTTTGGAGCCTGTATTTTTAGGTATTTTTTTTATCGAGAATGTAAAATTATATATCATGTAAAAAACTATGTTGTGATTGGACATTTTGTTAATTAAAAATCTGAAAAAAAAAAAAGAACCCAAACAGTCAACCCAAAAGAAAAACCAATAAACATAAAAAGAGCTTATAGATCCATATACAAAATGTCACGGTGTTACACCCTAGCTTCCTGTTAACTACTATTCAGATACTCTGTACGTTACCCCTTTAATAATAAATCAGTTGCACTCAAGTCTAACTCAGTATTTTATTATAACCCCAGATCCACAGAAGATTTGCGAAATATTGAAGTTGTCACTTTGCAAAATGGAGGGACTTGAAAGGGGGACAAATTATATTCATCTCATATGCATTTTGCCTATGAGATGAAGTTGAACTATTTTTTTATTTTATATTATTTTTTTATCGAGCTGACCATGCTACAAACAAAATAACTACTAGTCTAATTCCTTCCAACTTCGACGGCATTTCCTATAAAGTGACAATAAATTATTTTGGTGTTGTGCAATCCATTTAAAGCTCGATTTTGTGTTTTTGGAATATTCAAATTCACGGTTTAGAAAAGAAAAAGAAATGTTGCTCCGTTTTTGTTTATAATTCTTTTATATATAGATTAGACTATAGTATTACGAAGAAATACATAAATGATTAGTTACCTTCACTAGTTGGTAACTTTGTATAACAATAGCAAGAGTGACAATCGAGTGAAGGAGTAGAAACAAAATTAATTCATTATATAAAAAAATATTTTTTTCCCATATTACAGAATAACAGTAACTAATTTCCCTCGCTCATAGTAGGCACGTCCGTGATAACAATATCAATTGGTAAGAATGAAGTGGTAACACTAAAAATGTGGCATGTATTATGAGTGGAGACGTGGGGCAATAAAAACAGTGATAATTTATCGATACAAATTGTGATAACAATTAGAGTAGAACAGTGATCATAAACGAGTTAAAATGTATTTTTCGTTAAAAACAATAAGACATGTTAAATGTGGTAATGGGGATAAAATGCATCTACCATATAAAGGCAATGGGCATGATGAATAGTTAAAGAAAATCTTGACCCTCTAGAAATGATATCTAATGAGAGAGACTAGTTAAATAATGTGCAAAGTCACTTAATAAATTTGCTCAAATTAATGTGAACGTTAGCTTCAATTTCATATTTGTCTAACTTAATTACAGTACTTTTTGTCTTTGGTAAACAAAAAGGAAGCAAGAAGATGGCGTCGTTGACCCATAAAGAGATATGGAAAAAAAAAAATTATTTGGGTCTTTGCGAGAAAGATTAGCGAAGAAATTATGGTAAAAAAAACTATGGCCCGCAAAAGATTTTCTCCAAGAAAGACTTCTTCTCGTCAAGATCAAGGCTGCTCAATTTGATCGATGTTGCAACTTGCAAAATTCGAGGAAAGGAAAATACGAGGAAATTAATGTTGACCAAAATCATTTCTGATTAATATATTGATTTGATATTTTACCTACGATCAAATTTGTTTATTTATGTTATTCCTTGGAAGCTTCTGAAAACTTATCCTTTTACTACGCTTCATGAAAACAAATGACACTTAGGACACGTGTCAACTTTACATAAGTTTTTTTCTAATCTAAACAAAAAAATTTCATCTTTTGCAAAAGAATGATGCCACGTGTCATGTGTTTATCTAAAAAAAAAAAACTTCACAATTCGACAAAATACAAAATGATCACATTAAATACTCCCCAATTTAAGAGATTTACATTCTGAAACTCTATCTCCTTGCAACACAAATTATGGCTGATTATATATAACATAAATTGCTTATCATCAGTTATTATCTCTCAAAATCTCCCATTAAAATTCAAATCCCAAAATTGAATATAATCTCTAAATTCTTAATCCCCAAAAATCTGTAAATCCCTAATTTTATCTATTTTAAGATCTTTTGAATATGATTGCACTCTGAAAGACGATAGGTTTAAGGCAGAAACCAAAGACGAGAGGCATGGACGTCAGATCCGACCGATTCCAAATTTGGTGAACACCAAGTTTCGTCCACGGATTCTCTACATCCATCGACTTATTCCAACGCCGCCAGCTCCCGTCGAAGGATGCCTAGAGATCAGTCCTTGCTAATTGGGATCAATAGCAGAAGCCGCCGGTAAAAATCCTCAGAAAGCAACATGGTATTTGTTTTTATATTAGGGTTTAGTTTTCTCCTTTTGTTGATGTGTTGCTTTCTTCTAACGGAGACCTTGATTTTTATTTAGTATGATCATTAAAACAAAGAGAAGAAAGAAGGCCGTCCAAAACTCAAAAGTCTACTGCCATCGCGGAGTCCACGGAGAATATTCAGGCATTATCGTTCGTCTATGGATTCCATGTTCGTATTAGGCGATTGAATTGGGCGTCACTTTGATCTATAAGGGTTTTGAGGTAAATATTTTCTATCCCAATGCGCCAACTAATGGTCATCATCTTTCCTTTAAATATAATTCTTCTAAATATCATTCAAATGAAGAATTATGATCAGTTTCAAAATCGTCTAAGTTTGTTTGATTATTAATTTTAATAAGTATTTCCTTTTGGGTTCCACTTTCATTAGTCTTATTATTTTACTTTGTGATTGTTGAAAACAATCAAACAATTCGGTCCTGGCTTTTCCTACTAATTAGAAGAAGAACCTTGAGAAGAAAGCTAATAGTTATGCATAATCCGCCAGCGTGGTAATTAACTATCATCATATTAGCATTTTCTACTTTTTTTTTTGTTTAATGGATTTGTAAAACAATTTGTTTAATTGGCTTATCTTTTGTTTTAATTTTTTTCAGTGAAATTGGGGCCTAAAACCAATAAAGGGAAACTGAATTTGAGGGCTAATATAATTCGAAAAGGCAGACAGGAAAATATTTTTAAGAATTTATTCTGTGTTAGTGAGGCAGAGCAGCCAAAAGAAAAGGGTAGTATTAAGAATAGTGACTGGGGTGTTTGTTTTTACGCATTAAGACATTATTCTTTCAATGTTCTGATTAGTACATATTATTTACTGTAATTTATTTATTTATGTATTTATTTTATCATGAGTAGTATTATTTATTAATTACATATCAATTTATTAAATTGGGTGCCCCAAACTTTTGCCCGGGACAAGCATCTAATAAAACATTAAAACCAAAACATAGCGGTGTAACGTTGGAATTAAAAGGAAAGGCACAATCATCTATTAAAACGGACAGAGGAAGGACGGGAAAAAAAAAGAGTAATTAGTAATACACATATTTTGGAGATGAAAACATGAACATTCATGAATGATCCAAAAAGTTATAAACTATTTTCTTCCAACGGTAGATACCATCCTAATCCTGGTTTCCTTAAGAAAAGTTTTTAGGAAAATGATGAAAGTCGTGAAAAATTTATACTGAAAACAGATAG